AGGGGGCTCAATGTTAGCGCGATTATCGCGATGACCAAAAAAAGGGCAGATCGCGAGATCGCGACCCAGCATCGCGCAGTGACGAGCAAGATTGATAACGCACCTGGGGGAAGGCACCGTAGTTCCAGATGTAGCCGTGGTGGGGAAAGCAGTTGCGGACGAAGCGCAATTTGCCGCGCTTGATGTCCTGCTTGATGGGGTTGAAGGGCTCCTCCTTGGACGTCTCCATCTTTGCGTTGGTCCAGCGGGGAACCTCGACGATCATGTTGAAGATGCCCTGGTTCTGGTCGGCGAAGAGGGGGATGTCGTGGAAGGGCGAGATGACGGAGCCATTCTGCTCGATGTAGACGCGGTGCTCTGCAAGTGATTAGATCAGGTTCGACGAGCCCGACGACGAGCACGCGAAGACATACCAAGGGTGTTGGGAGCACCGATGAGGCGGGGAGTGTACTCTGTTCGACGGTGTTCAGAACGGCGACGGCGAGATTTGGAGATGAGTGGACGTACGGGAAGCCATTGTGGGAGAGTTTGAGGAAGAGAGGAGCCTGAGTTGTTGGTGGAGACGGGAGAGTGTGTTTGGCCCGGAAGTCATAGGGCGGCACGCTGGGACTCGGATAAAATACTGGCAGACCACAAAATATGAGCACGAATCACACCATCGCCCAAGCCACAAACCTGTCGCTGTACACTTTTGAGCAAAAGGCCCCCGCTCCTCTTATGCATCGTCACCAACGCCTGCCGCACGCCTTAGCACGGAGAAAAAAGGTCCCGGTTCCGCGTCACCACCCGACCGTCCCTATCAAAAGTAAATACATCGCCGCGCTAATCTAATCTATGCCCGCCAAGATGTCTTCCCCTCCCTTTCGACTCTTACGCGGTTTCGACAGCTCCCCGTTAAAGTCCAGCTTCAACAACAACCGTTCGACGTGTCTCCGACTGTGATCCGCCTCTCCGTCGATGGCCCTCGCGGTCCGAGAGAAATTATGTGTCGTCTGGTTCATCATACTCATCCCACCAATAAACCCAGACTTCGACGCGTCCACGGTGGTCGAGAAGGGCTGCGACATAGACTGCGTCAGCTGTTCGTAGAACGATTCTAACAAGGCCCGCAAGTTCTATGAACCGGTCAGTCACTTGTCCGCAAGAAAGTAGAAGCACGCTCACCTCGTCAATTTCGGCAACTACCACCCAGCGTTCCTTCACCACCGCTCCTACTTCCTCCTCACTGTGTAGGCTCCCTTCGAATAGCAGGGCAGGAAGGACATCACCACCCCATCGTTCCACAAGAGCCACGAACCGTTCGCAGACGTCCAGAATCTGCCGTAAGGTGGACGTTAACGAACCATTGCCGAGTAGGCAGCCATCCACCAGACGTCCGAGGTAGTTGGTGTGAATCGTTCGAAGAGTCGTAAAGTCCAGATGCGACGGCGAAGCTTGGGGCCCAGTGCTCTGGCTTGCTTGGTTCTGAATCACGGTTCTATGTTTGTCCAACACCTCCTTCAACTTCCGGAACTCCACATCAACCACGTCCATCATCACATATCCCAGAACCGTGTCCAAGAACCAGCTCATATCCCTAACCACGCCCCACCCGCATCTCAGCATCTTTGCCCTGGTGTCCAGCTCTTCAGCCGTACCGCCTTCTCCATATCCCGTCCATCGCCGCCGAGCTCGTTGTGCATTTGACAGGGAAGTCCAGCAGGTGTGTACTCTCGTGTGCGTTTTCCGTAGAGCAGAAAGGAAGGAGAATATGCTGGAGTAGACAGTGAGGTCTGCACGATCGAGGAACAGATCCAGTGGCCATGTTAGATTGTAGGATAATGACAGTGTTGTCCCGAGAAGAAGTGTGTCGAACAATGATGTGCCCAACGGGTTGTTGGTGGGTGATGTTGGAGCAGGTGCCTCGTTGGTTAATGAAGGGAGGAGCGGCCGCAAGGGGCCGCCTGGCAGCACAAAGCGGAGTCGAGACAGGTAAGGATCGTGTTGGGCAGTGGTTCCAAGTGATGCTCGAAGAAGAGCAAGGTTGAGATCTTGTTCACGAATCATCGAGGCAGTTCCTGGTCGGGAGGTTAAGCGAGATATCTTGAGGCGTTCAATTTCGCGAATGAGGGATAGACTGAATTCGCCGTTTCGAATGAGAAAATAGTTTGCCCTGTAACAAAGATGAAATAAATCCTACCATGGAGGACGTAATTACTCACAAGGAATCCACTGATTCATCAACATCTCTCTTCGTCAAAACGTTCATCCATAACCATTCACCAACATTCGTTCGTATTTGAGAGATGGCCAGGTCAAACGCGTGTTGATCTTGAGGTAGAACACCTTCCAGCAACGCAGTATGCTCTGTAGCGAGCTCTCTCGGTGGTTGTTTTTGCCATTTCACTGCCTTGACAGTGGTGATTGCCCGACCAATGTAAGCAATAGAATCGCGGGATTGTGAGGAAACGCAGGATGGTATTGAACCACTGAGAAGTGATAGGTCCTTTCCAGCTAGCGGGTCTGCAGTAGATAGAGATCCGTGGACAAGAAAAGCGGTGAGTTGAGTTCTCCAAACGCGTTGGACAGCGACTGATATTCGGGATATTATGTTGGCAATACGGTGTACGCCCGTCTTCGATCGCGCCACAAGGAGGTCAATCAAAGGACCCGGCTTCCACTCTTTCACCGATTCCAGCTCGTCAAAGAGTGCAGCAAGTGCGGCTAGCGGTGCATCCCATTCCGAGAAGATAGCACGCACTGACGATAATGGGACGAAAGCACCGCCCACCACGAGTTCAGAGTCACGCTTTAGAACCTTCGCTTCGGTTTGTATAACGAGCGACTCGTACTCCTCCTTGAGTACATGGCTTAGAGTCGCACAGAGCGCGCAGATGTACCGGGACGGCGAACGCGACAGCTCTGTGCACGATGTTTTGATCTTGCGGTACCGGTACGCGATGAGCCCTAGAGCTTCAAGGCTTTGCTGTTCACCAGGATGAAGTTGGGGAGATATAGCAGGGTTTAATGCATAGTCTTTGGGGAACAGCGAGGAAGAATGGCCTGCAAGGACGAGAAGAACTTCCGCGATCATGATTAACGCAGAGAGTGTGACAGGGGTGTTGGTGGAAACACGTCCGTCACGGTCGTCTCCTCCGGTCACAGTCACGCAAAACCGCTGCTTGGCTACAGTCGATTACGATTGCGATGCCGGTTACATTCACTCTCCCCGCTTCTCTACCAACCACTCCCACCCCAATGACCGCTGTGAACGTCCACCACGAACACCGCCTTCCCGCCCCGCTGGATTTGGACGACGACGATGCCTTCGGCGCAGAGGACGAGAACCCCGCGAGCATGCCGTATGTGTTCTCCCCTGACGCCATCCGCGAAGAGATGTCCAGGAATATGCCCGACTCTGGGGTTGAGGTTGAAGGCTGGGGCGATGGCTACTCGACGGCGTCGACGGGCGGGTTCTTCACCGCACAGAATACGTCGGTGTCGACGATTGATATTGGCCCTAATGGCACCCACACGCATGGATTCGGCTCACAGAGACGGTCACCCTCGCCCGACTCTGCATCGCTCTCGTCACATTTCTCGCAGGTGGATTTGACATCTCCCTCGGACGAGCAGCCTACTCAAGAGCTCCCAAGCCTTTCGGACGTGTACACCAAAACGAATGGGATTGAGAACGGGAATGGAAATGTTGATCACTCTAATACCACAGTCCGTGAACGTGCCAGCTTGAAGCCTGCTGCACTAGATCTTGCCCCAACATCCACACCTCCTACACCTCCGCCTCACGACTACACTGAGAATGACGCTCGAACACCTACGTCTGCACCTGTACATCAAAGCCCGAACTCGCCTGACGTTTCAGAGCCGTCGCCTAGCTTCCATTCACCCGCTACCTCCACACCCTCCACCTCACCCGTAGTTGCAGCAGCGGCCGCAGCTGCTGCGTCCACCTCCCTCCCCGCTATAGCAACTACCGCAGCGCAGTCTTCGTCGGGTAACCTACTAACGGAAAAGCCTCTAGGGCACCGGGCACACCGCTCCATGGGTCCAAGCATGTTCGAGAAAGTCAGAAGTAGAACACGACCGACCTTCCTACCTCCAAAACCTCGAGAAGAGGACGATAAGCATTTAGCAGTTTGGCAACAGATGATGAAGCAGAGTCGGATGGCTGGTGCGTAGTCAACCTATCCGATCTCGAGTTCTCAGTTTAGACTCGTATATTTTTAGCGGAGAAGCGTCGTAAGGCCCTTCAAGAACGGCGGCTGGCCCGAGAGAAAGCCATCGAAGAAACACTACACATATGGGAGAGAGAAATCCTCCCTGACTGGCGGATGGTACACAAGAACCCCCAGCTGCGGAAACTCTGGTGGAAAGGGATACCGACGAAGCTGCGCGCGCCTCTGTGGGAAAAGGCGGTGGGTAACGAACTAGCTCTGAGCAAAGGTAGACGTCAATTGACAGACCGACGCGACCCGTTACTCATCTTTGCTACTCAATCTTATCTGCCCTTTTCACCTTGAATCAATTGGCCCTCCGTCGTCCCCGATTTCGACATGACCCCGACGACGATGACAACTAGATCACTATCGCATCTGTCTATCACGAGCGAAACGTGCACTTTCGTCTGGCGTCTTCCCGCAGGCTACATTAGACCTGATTGACCAAGACATGGAGTCGACATTACCCGCTTTACACATCTTCCACAAGGAGAATGGTCCGCTATATGGCGAGCTCAAGGACATGCTTTGCGCCTGGGTCGTTGCAAGAAGTGACGAAGGCCTTGGATACACGATGGGTGCTGCGAGGATAGCAGCGATGTTGTTGATCAACATGCCGAGTCAGCAGGGCTTCGTCGTAATGCGGAATCTCCTGGAACGACATTTACTTAGAAGTTTCTTTGGTGGAGAGCGGTCTAAGGATGATGTTAGTACACTCCTTGCTTGTGTATATTCCTTGGCTCAATGTTATTCTCTTTTTTGCAGGTAGAGGCATACTACAGGTGAATACGATGACCCTGGAGTCCTTGGAATAGCAAACTCACTTGATTCAAGAATATTTGACACCAT